AATACACTTACACGTGACCAATCAAGACTATAAACAAAACATATAGGCAGAAACCCTCCTTGTCTTTCTGCTGTCCAACGATCAAATGATGGACGGACCCATCTAATAAAAGCTGTAGGATCATGAAGGAGGTACGTTATTTAAATCCAAATTTTTTATATTTATGTTAAAACCAAAGAATTTCTATAGAAACAATAAATTCTAAACGATTTTATAGAGTCAATGCTTCTACCACTAGATAACTAGGCTATGGAATGCAGGCCTAAATGATCAGTCTTCATTTTCTCTCATTTTCGATTAGAATTCTCTATTCGTCAATACACTTACACGTAAGCAATCAAGATTATGAACAAAACATGTAGCAAAACCTTTCTTGTCTCTATGTCGTTGCGCTAGCGACCAAGTAGCAGGCGGTGTATGCTACCATAGAGGATCGTCAATCCTAGGGATCCCTAGGTCCCACGAGCCAGGAAGAAGAACTTCTTTGGTTCCTCTGTGCGTACCACCAGGGGCATTCTTTAACGCGTGCGTGCGTTCCGCCGCGGGGACGAAAGAGACAAAGAGACATGGTGACCGAGAGGAGAGACAGAGAGAAAGAGGGAATCGAGAGAAAGGAGCAACTTCTATCTTCTCGCGGCACAGTTCAACTGCGAAGGTCGGTCAATGGCCAACACGCTGGCTAACAGCCGCTATAGGCGACAAGGAGAGAGAGTGGGAGAGAACGATCGAGGGAAGGAAAGCGAGAGATGAAGAGAGCTAGATCGAACAAGGGGTTAGAGGGAGAAAGACGAGGTGAGTGAGCGCTTGTGGGGGAATGAGATGGAGAATGGGCGACGTAACTCGCATGGTACCAGAATATCATTACGTTCAATTGCTATACGACGACATCCAGCGACCAGATGGTACATGTCAATGCACGTGCGTCCGGAGAAAAAAGGGGTTGACACTGGCTACCACGCCGGCCACTATAACAAGATTATTTGAGCCCGCGTCAACAACACCAACCACCGCGGATTCCTCGTCGCTCGGAACGCGGAAATTTTCTTCGCCACACGGCAAAACATTACCGGACGACCACGCTTGATCCCTACGCAGTTGAAATTGCTGTTACCTATGATGGCCCTGTAAAACCGGTGGATCGGCGCGTTCATGAAAAGAAAAAAACGAAGGAGATTGTTGTACCGCTTCTATATATGAGGTGTTTTCTGTTGAGACGACGCGACTGCGATTAGACGCTGATAAGAGAGATGGTCGCCGGTAGTTAATTCTCAACGGTTGGCTTAGTTTTTAATTCTTCAAGGAATGAAGTACTCTTGGTTTTTCGCTTTGGAATTTGTATCGATGTTACTTAACTCCTTGCCGTAAGTATCCAGAATGTCTTGTCAGACTCGCGAAGAGAATCTCAAATGGAAGTTAATGGAAGTAAATGTTACTTAATTCTTTTGAGCTTGAATTGAGTGTTGTTTTTCTGTTATCGACTGTTATGCTTTGAAGTAAACGCAGATGTAGATTAATGTGAAGCTGTTCTTAATTTGTAGTAAATTATTAATGACAATTTACTATTAGTAAGGATAGTCATGGAAGACATCATGGAGCAAGGGGTTAATTTAATTGAAATTTACACATTGGGGTGACATTGGACAAATTTATTGAGAGTATTTGAGAAGTACGGAAATTATACTTATGTATGATGTGATTATGATGTTATAAATAATTATAGTAAAACTTGAATGTCGAGTGTGTATTGACGTAGGGTCATAAAAGGTTAAAGTGTATAGATAAAGATATTATAAAAATAAAGTATGTATAAAGATATTTAAGGGATTGGTAATTAAAATGTTATATTATTTATTCGAAGGAAAGTTTCATCAGAACCACCAATCATTAAATGTAGTTTTTGGGTTTTGAGAGTTTAAAAATATTAATTTATAAAATTGAAATTCCCTTGTAAGGATACTCCTATTACCGTAGATGATACTAGTATTATTCATTTTCTATATCAATTACTTTTCCAATGAGAATTTACTGTTGTATCAGTCTAATAACCAGTCATTGATAACATACAATTAACTCTTCGCTTTACGTAAAAATTATTTTTCAATAATTTGCTAGAAGAAAAAATAAGAAAAATTCTTCTAGAAGAAGAAAGAATATCAAAATATTGAGAGGAACAGTAATTTCTTTTTATTTCAAAGAAATTAATAATATTTATATTTGTGTCTTAAATTTAGTTCGAAATGTCTACATCGAGAATAACTCGATATTATAATCATTTGAAATTACTATATTTTCAAATATACTAAGTTGTTACATAGTTGTAAATTTTATTATAATTGCAAATGATAAATTAAAATGTTTTTAAATACTAAATTGTTATAACTGTTTTGAATAAACTGTTCCATTGAGATCCATTTCAGATGGATCGTGAGAATCCAGCGAACAGTTTGCAAAACTGGCAGTTCCTCATTATCATAATCATATCAGCCGCGACCCATATCAGAAATTCATCGGCGTGTCGGCCCTATTTAACCCTTATAACGTGAGAGAGTAATTTCGTTCCTCGTAAAATAATCTCATCATCTTTTCTCATAGCTTGAAAATTTCGGTCGGTGTATTCGGAACAAAAAGCTACTTTTATTGTTAATACCAAACATATTAAATTATAAAAGGATAAATAACAAATATTTAAAATTATTTATTTTATATTTATCTTTTTTTAAAATATTATTAAATCAAATAGGGCATGAAAAGTTATCGCCACAAATAAATACGAAACAATGTGATTGAATATTTTCATTTCAAAATTATTGAATAATCATTAAAAAGACTAAAATTTAAAGTAATATAACAACAGGTAAACTAGTAAGTAACTACTAAAGTAATTATTAAAATAGAAAATTGTTTATGTAATTACCAGAATAAAAAACTGTTTATCAGTATTAGAAATTAAATATTTTAAAGTGTATTCTTTCTTAATTTTTATGATGAATGAGCTACTTGGATTCCATGAGCAATAAATCGCTTATGTGTAACAAGATTGCTGCAGTTTCATGAAATCACGTATTTCAAATCAGGCCAAGTTACTTCATTGATCGTTTCATGCAACATACACATCATTGAGGAACGTCCCCATTGATTAAACATCACCGAAGTAGAAAGCAGTCCGCGAACGGTCCGCAAACGATTACAATGAACCATACGATGCCTGTTACGATGCCTGTTATCTAACATAATAATTTTCAGGCTCAGCAAACCAGCCCAGATTAGATAAATACAACGAAGCAATAGTAATTCTTCGTTTCCACAAACTGTTCGAAAAATTACGTCTGTTTCAAACGTGAAATTACCAGTGACACGGAGATCAAATATTACGTACCGTCATTAACTCATTTCGTATCTAAAATTCGTTTCAGTAATTTCAAAAATATTTCTGAAAAATGAATGTATATAAAGAAATATTTCGTGTATTCGTGTTAGCGAAGTTTACTTATTACGTAAACAATACATTAATATGATTCTTTTACAAAGTTATTGTAAAAACATCATATTAAAGTATCTCTTACAAAATGAGTAAACCGCATTTATGCATTTGCAATATATATTTATTACTATGTAAAACGCAACATAATAAAAGTTGCAATGAATGTCTTATAACATTCACATTACTTTGAGAACTTTATCTAAAGTTAATAAGTTGTTATTGAATACCGATTGTCAAAGATTTTGTTTTAAAAACTGAAAATTGTATGATCATCTGCAATATAGTAATGATTTTCCTAGTTTTAATTCTTATTTAAATCTTGAACAAGAGGTGTCGCATTTGAAAAGTTCAGAAACAGCAAAATTCACAAATTAATTTCATCCTTTCTTTTAACAATACTACTGTTTTATGTTTAAGAGAAACTGTAAACGTTTTTATATTTCACAAAGGAGCTCGAACTTTTTTTCCTTAATCTGCTTGCTTCGTTTAAAGATGCCATTCGAAGTAATCGTGGTAGTCTTATCGTAAATCCTTTTAATATTTCTTGGCAGTATACTATAATACTATAACTTCTACTAATCTTCCTGAGAAACTCCTCTTCGATCATCGACATGTGCGTCCGTAAGTCTTCATTCCATCAATATCACTATTTTCAATTCTAATTAAACGTATTATAATCCCTCAGTTTTGAACATTAATTTCGAAGGATATTGGACGTACGTTACGACTCACTATCTTATGTACAATCAGATCTTAATAAAATGCGATTGCTTCATTATATCCAACTATTTTATAACAATTAGTCTAATAACTGTGAAATTATGAACTATATTATACTCTATTTTATACTGTACTTCATATTGTATTGTATATGCTATATTGAACGAATAAATGAATGAAACACAATAGGATCAACAGCAAATGAACGCAGAACGTAATTTCATTAATGATGTCAACTTCTAATGTACGCATATATGATATGACATTAAATGTAACATTCAAATTGAATACTACCATACGTAACGACTAATTTTTTTATAAAGTATAATATGAACATATTGCTTTACAAGCATACGCCTAACTAAATTGCTTTATACGCTTACTACATCGTAATTTATATTTCCTTTAGAACAATCAAGTCCGATGATTTATGAATGATGGTGTATATATGTATTATGTCCTGTCATAACATAACAAGTAGCTTCATAACGAGCACGTGTAAATGTACTCAAATTTATTTATGCTAAACAATAGCTACTGGGGGCCATCAATACAGATTATTAATCGCACTGTTGGCAATACATTTGCATATTATAGGTTCAACGTGTTTTTCTCTTTTCTTCTTTTCCATCAACAACATAGATATGGTTCAATTAAATTTGCTTGGTATGCACGTTGCAAAACGAATTAATATAATTCTTGGTATGAAACGATCCCGAGTTCTTTGAACGTAAATTGCAACAAACGACGCGGCCGGCATTAATCAATTATTTTTTGCTAGTTATCGAGTTGTACTCACTCAGGCAGTACTGGTTCCCGAGTTCCGCGTTCAAATAAATTTTCCTGAATGCTGCCTTCTTTTCCCTCATTTTCTTCTTCTTACACCGTGTTAACATTCCACCGCAGTGTCTGGAAACGGAAGATCCACAGGTATAATGTTGTTTATTAGCTGAGAAACGTTATTTGCGATCGAGATCCCGTCAATAGGTACCAAGGTTTTATTTCGAGTCAGGATAAGAAGCGACTGTTGCTACCGCTAAGAAATATTTTATCGATTGAAGTAACGCTATTACAGTGGTCATTATTCACATGCCAGGTGTTGGGAACACTTTTTTTGCTGACGGAGAGGTACAATAAGATCATTTCTTTTAAATGAAGTTGTAACATACGAGTAAGGGATTTTGCTCGTATTACATGATGCCCCACACAAATTGGACCAAATAGTCTGAGAATGATGAAGAATTAAATAAAATTTTAGTAGGAATAATCTAGTGTTTTCAAGTAGAGTATCCTGTGGTGGATATGTAAGACTTTAAGATTACTATTTTCATTACGTATTGACCCATAGGACCTTTTCATACACTACTTAATAAATATTTTCCACGAGAAAATATTAAAGAACTTGTGTGGAAAATTGATTATTTTATAAAATACTTTTAGTTTAGTTTTCCCATTACAAAGATTAAAAACCGTTTTGTTTCAGATATGTCTAAAGTAATACAATTTTGTTTCCTTTAATTTAATTTTTTGTTTACTAATAATCTTACAGAATAATGTTTTGGAAATTGTTAAGAAAATAATGGAGAAACGTGTGGAATGTAATGACAGTCCATTTATGTATTTTTTTATATTTCATTTTATATTCAAATTCATTGGATAGTTCATTAAATAAATAAACTTTTTATATTATAAATTCGAGGTTGTAAGTCTAATCAATTTTTAAATTCAGTACTTAATATTTTCTTTTAAACAATAAACTAGTTGTATACACTACAAATCTTTCAGTGTTATTCAAGTGATTAATTTTTTAGTTAGGTAGACACGTAATAGTTTCTTATAAAAAATAAAATATCGCACCAAACGTTAACAAGACTACTGTGCACAGCTATAAAGAATCAATTCAGGAAACAAGCAACGACACTGCCCAAGCAATAACATTCAGAATTTATTCTAAAACAGATTCTTGCACTGTACCATGTACATTTAATGCATCGATACTTTTCGTTCAGGGGGAATGTAAAAAGGAAAAAGAAATATTATTTATTCGTGTTACGATACGTTCTTGAATTAGCGACTTTCGTTCCGAGAACAGGTCGACGATGTTGTCCTGCGAATTGTCGATAATTAGCAAACAGATAAGTCGCTTGAACGTGGACGGAGTCTGGGGAAAAGGTACTTTATTAGCTGAACCTAGTTCAAGCCCGATATTTTATTAAGAACGCGCGCTCATCAGCACGGTGCTCCCATTGCGATAACTCGGCGTGATTCAATGGGAATCGTATTATCATCGACAATTAACTTATGTAGGCCGATTATAATTATTTCTTTAATCTTGTCCCTTAGTCTCGAATCAGATAGCAAGACAAATATAATACTACACCTAATTCTGTTTTTACACGACTTCAGTTTAACACAAATTATTTTTTTTTTACAAAATTTAATTTCATTTAATACAATCACCCAAATTTTAATATGAATATTCATATGCTTTATTACATTACTTTATTGGTTTCTTGAGCTTGAAGTTAATCTCCATTTTTCTATAGGTACAGTATAGTTATTTAAACGGATTATCGTGCAAAAACAGAATGGAGTGTATAGCAGGAAAATGATTGTTTCAGGAGGAATGAAAAATTTACAAATTGCAGCTCGAACTTTCAGATTAACGTCAGTAAATACACGTACCTAAGTAAAAATAATAAATGAATAAATATAAAACAATAGACTCAATTGTTTTCTATAATATTTTCTTCAAAAACAATTACACTATGAAAGAATTCGGATCATAATTACCATTAGCAAACAAATGTTTTTAAACGTTGCTGTACATGCAACATAACTAAAATTAAGTAAGTTAATGAAAACTATCCTATTCTCGTTAGAAAAAACTCGTCCTTTTCTGGAAATACTCCAATGATACTAAAATATATTATTAATTACCTTCCTTAGTTCCAAAATATAGACTCCTTCATAAGATTGACACAGTAAAAAACTATGGAAACGCATAATTAACTTGCAAAGAGAACACCTTACAACGAATGCTGAACGAATTACCGTTATACATCTCTCATGAGGCGCAAATTATACAAAATCATGCGTTAAGAATTTGTCATGGCGGATCGATTACAAATCCGTAAACTGACAGTAAATTAATGCGCCGTAGTTGTTGATCGCTATCACAAAAAGAACCAAGACCTGTTCGTATTTATTGCGCAAGCCGCTGCCAGTAATCTCGCCCTGACTTCCCAAATCATAACTGTTCTAATTACCATTCATACTCGATATCCAGAAACGATAAGCAAACCCGAAAGGCCTTAATAAATTTGTTAGACGGCTGATCGGGAGTCACGCATATAATTTCACGCGAATTAAAAGGAGTCAACTGGTAATACATACATACATACATACGTGTCTGCGTTAGAGAACTTGTTCCGAAGTGAAAATCGTTGAAACATTCGGACGGGCGCCATATAAATGAATAATCGGAATAATTCAATGCTTCACCTGTCGGGTTTCGATCGTTGCCGCAGAAATATGATTAAAAAGAGACATAAGCTGTGACGTACATGCGATGACATGGGTGTTCCTCGTGTGTCCATGGTAAAAAGCAAGAAAAGAAAGGAGAAAAAAACGTGACTGTCGTGTGCGCACACTTGCTCCGTGCGTCGAGGGTGACGAGAAACGGTACGCTTTCAGGCAAGACTGTAACAAGGTCGTATCGAGACCTCTGATTTCAAGTGAGACAAAAAGTCACTGACAAGTGGGAAAGATTATAAATAGTGGGCACCATTAATCGTTCCTTATGGAGCATACGATAGCGGGAAACGATACAGGACCGATACTGAACGCTAGGTTTAGTGAACGCGTTAATTTGACACAAACTGAATTCCTTAACCATTTCATTTTTCATTGTTTATTTTTTTAATATGAATTTTGTGAAAAAAATGAAGTGGTACCCTCGTGTGGTACACTTTTTCTTTATCTAGGTGCTTTTTACCTTTCCGGTAATTTCAAATGTTCGTGGTACCTATGTGTACCAATCGAAACTAAAGGGTTAATTATATTGTATAATTATAACGCAGAAGATCGCAGTGACAGTCTCAGAAGAAATCAGAAGTTCTCACTCAATAGTTATTAATAAAAAAATTACTAAATTTTACCTATGTTTAGGAAACCAGAAATTTTCGTTATATAGTTGATACTACTACTACGCAGAGATATTTAAACAAATAAAAACAAATAGATACAATATATTGTTTATTAATGCCTACAAACGACAATAATTATAATATTTAAACATAAATATTACTTAATTCTTGTTAATTCAAATGAAATATTCTTTTTCTGTTATCAATGATTATACTTTAGAGCAAAAGTGGACATAGAATATGCATAGAATTTATTTCTTTTTTCAATGAATTATTAATGATATCGTTGTTTTGTCGATCACAACTGAGAAACAAATCATAGGACAAGGGGTTAACATTCGGTAATTTTCAAACTTCTATACGTAAAGGTTAACAGTACATACAACTACCGAGGACATAGGATTGATATGTAATCCTTGTAAAAATTGTAATAATAGATTTTTTTCGATTTCTTCACATATTCATTATAGTATTCAAGTGAAATTATTTGTTTTTAAATTATTTATTTAACACGTTTGATACAGTAATAATTTCGAAATAAGAAAACTGAAACCCGCCAGTTTGACGAGTACGGTAATTCTAGTATGAAAAGATAACTGCGAACGGATGTAGAAATTTATTTAAGAATTTGATAATATAAAGAAAGAGATAGGAAAAATATGAATATTATAAAGGAACGTCTTATTATAAAGGTCGTCTTGCTTTGTTACGTTTCTAGAAAAACTCTTATTTGTTATGCACACGGCCCTATTTTATACTCTCACAAGTACATATGACAAATATTTTTGTAAGTGTTACTTTCTACTAAAATTTCATAAAAACCAACGGTTGGTACTTCGGTGTGTTCCCTTGTAAGGTAAACCGTAGATCGTATAGACGTTTTTCACGAAACTACATTCTTTTATAAGTGATGGACGTGATTTCTCAGAAACGATTAGAGATATTGATTTGAAACTTTTATAGGATGCATAGTTATACATCGACTCTTTACCAGTCGAACTAAAATTACACTATATATTTCAATTAAATTATATACGTTTATTATTCTTAACAATGTAAAGAACTGTCCTAGTTAATTTCAAATTAATAATGTTAATTAACAAATAACCAATTTACTATTTATTTAGTATTTACCACGTATGTAGAATCATTGCAAAAATAATATTGCTTTGTAATATAACTCTGAAGTACGAAGAAGTACGAGAGAAAATGAGTAATACAACGTAACGTCATCTTTGTGATAATTTGACGTACCTAACAAATTGACCACTTGTTGGTCATGATTATTAACTAATTATGCCCGAATAGGCCTTTTAACGGTGACATTTAATTTGAATTTAATTACGGCAATCGACCGTTTAATCAGAAAAGTTTAAATTGAATATTCATGTGTGTGATGTGGAAACGGTGAAATTGCCTCACAAATGAAGTACAAGCACGGCGTATCTATACAAAATTGCCTGCCAGAAGTTGCAGTAGGTGATGATTTGCAAGCCCAGCAAACAGGATTTTCAAGACGCTCGATATTAGTTTCGTCGATGCACGCCGATTCATCAAGGGCACTATAAAAACGCGATTGTTCGTTTTTCGAGCGCCGTGGAAGTTAAGGGGTTTTGAAACGAGACACTAAGTAAGCACATTCTGGTTTCGTACGCGAGTATCGCGCTAATAAAACCTTTCTAGAACGTTTTGCTTAGCGAGGATTCCAGTGAATACTCCTTTCATCGAGTGAATGCTGTGATTGTAGGCAATGCAATTTTT